CTATATCACGTGGTCTACAGATATAACAAATGTAGTCTCAGTAATTATTACACTCTTGTTCATCCCAAAAATGCTTTAGAAAATTGTATCACAACTGTATCTCAAGTTTGTCACAGTATAAACCATTGAAGACAATAACGATAAATATATTTAATACAGTCTAGCGATCTTTTTTCAGGGGAGCAAAGGAATTGAAGGAGGAGGGGGGGGGGGCCTCTGAAATTTTTTCGACTACCAAGGAGGGGGCTCCTAAAAAATTGAACCGCTAGCGAGGGGGGCTGCTAAAATTTCAAGCTTCGAGTTTCAATATCTTCATCCGCCCCCCTTGTCATATTAAATGAACTTTCCCTAAAGATGCTTGCACTTGCTCGTCGGTTTACTTCGAGGTAAACTAACCAACCAGACCTGACTAAATTCGTGAGCTTATATTCTTGAGTAGAACATAATTCCTGAACAAAAGCCACAAAACCACGCTCTTGTGAGAATGTAATGCTTACTGAGGTACAAAGTCTTCAGGTTGCTCGAATTGGGAAAAGGACTTTCATCGGAACCACCAAGATAGCGCTATATGATTATGGACCGAAACGGAAAAGAAAAAGCAGCTTCAGCCTTCTTTTCCAACAATATAATGCCAGCTCAGTTATTTATTGCTCGACACAAGGACCAGGTGTGGTGTTCGACCTAAATGAAACCACTTCTAGCTCCTTTAATTTTTGCCGCTTTTGCCACTATAACCGCTCCCACTGCATTGCTTTTGAACACATTTTACAATCGTAGCAATTGCCCTGGTTGTTTCTTTCTTCCCTAGTGTGATTGTCGGACACTGGGAGGAGCTTATCCCGTCCTTCGTACACGTTTTACCTGGCGGATATTAGACTCATTTCTTTATTCAGATTCTTTAGTTAATCCTTTAAATTACTGCTATAGAGATCGCCGTTTTAGGAACACGGTTCTCGAGATGTAGAGGATCAGAAAACCAAAAGTCGCTGCAAATGAAGAGGAGAGTGTGGATGGGGTCAACTGATAGCTGAGAATTAGCCAAAATGTAAACTTTTAGCTGAGAAACGATAAGTTTTTAAACTGATAGCTGAGATTCTTTAAGCAACTTTCAGCTGAGACTAGAAAATTGTGTCTGGATTTCCTTTGGAAAATTTCCAAAAAAAAGCTAATTTGTGCATGGATATAGTCATAAAACCTTGACGGGACCATAACATCTACAATCGCGACCAAAACTTGTTGAGACCAATTGCTTTTTCGTCATACTTTCACTCGTTTAAGCTCTATCAATTGTCCGCGTGAAAATTATGCACTCGCACTCCCCACCCTCCCCCTCCCTCTCCCCTCATCCGAAGCTGGCTCTTTGTTCCTAGAAATGTTTGTAGACAAAAAACCCACCGCAAATAACATTGCTTGGAGGGGAGAGTGGAGGGAGGGGTATGAAATATGTTACCTTGGTTAACGCAGTGTGAAATTAAAGTATGTCGGAGTATGTCTCAACAGTTGCGACCGAGATTGTAGACCCAATGGCACTTGTTCTGCAAGAGTTGCGTGACACTGACACCAATAGTGATTTCAGTGAATTAAATGAAGTCCCTGTTGGCCGTGCTTGTACAACAAGGCCAGGAAGAGTTCTACGGGTATACCTTCGTTTGGATATTTAGGGTATCTCATATATATCGACGCTTCTGGTGTCCATTTCATTTTTATGTAATAACATTATTCCTTGGAACCTAGGGCAATTATTTCGTCACTCAGTGGATGATTTTTTCAGCTTTTCCACAACGCTCTAAAACTTATCAACATTTTTTTTTCATTTTGTCACCGGTGGGTAAAGACACTTTAAGATTTATGGAATAACGATGCTCTTTTAAAAACAATCATTCTGCTGGAAACGCTTCCGAATTTATTTAATACTAATTAATGTATGCGTTTTTTGAATGCAAAATAACAAGAATAAAAAAATGAGGAAACAGATTTAGCTAAGGTTAATCAAAGTCAACTGTTAGCTGATCATGAGAAATGGCCAAAAATTTAAGTGATAAGAAATGGGCGACAATTTAGCTGATAGCTGCGATTCAGGGACCTCCATCCTGACCCTCGAAGAGGTGAGATTCGTCAAACGAAAAAAACTACTTGGTTCAATGAATGTAGACAATCCCTTTCGTTTAGAAAGATCTGCATCCTTAGTTTTATTCCAGTTCAGGTCTCTCAAAGTGTCGCTTGAAAGAACCATATCAGCTCCCTCGGTTTATAACGATGATCGTTTGGCGAATGCAAGTTTACAAAACGAAGAGAACTGGTCTTGTTGAAAATGACTATATTCATTATTCTCCAACTTTTAGATAACTTTTCCGTACAAGAATGACTCTTAATAACCAGAGGTCCTTTCCGAGATATGCAGACGATACAAAACCGATCTGAACTCTCTAACGCCTATTTGTACCACGTGTTCTTGAACTATCACCCAGTCCTGTCTCGTTTACAACAGGTCTCTTTGCTTGCCAAGATCTGTACCCTGTGATTTCCGGGTACCGAGAAGTACTCCAGTTTCCCATCTCCTCTAAAAATAACATTTCCAAATTCTAATTCGGCCAGGAATGGTGCACGAAGAAACGCTTTGTGGATGTGCTACCTCTAAATCATTATCTGTTTATTCGTTTATTTATCATTTCCTACCCCAATAATTCTCGAGATTTGTCCGGGTTCAGTCTTCTAAGAATAAGAGACGCCAAGAAAATGAAAACAGAGCTGAAAACTATATGTTTCTAACCACTTTTAGGTTTGTTTGGAGTAACTGCACTAACATATGACTATGGAATCTACAAAGACTTAGAAACGTTCGGCTGCGAAATATTTTTCAAAGAATGAATTTGTTAGTAGGAGGATTTTGACAGACACCATCGAATAATCGTACTCACGTACTAAAGGAAAGTAAACGGCGTCATATATATTATGATTTAACCGCAAACTCTTTGAGACCAATCACACTTGATGAGGCATAACACCGTTCCAGAAAATGATCCCTTTATAAAGCAAAGTGAAAGAGAGGTACCCACAGGCATGCAACATGAAATGAAATAGAGTGCAAACCCTTTGATCGCTTTCGTAAGCTACGTTTACATATTTCTTAAACTACAGCTCTTCATTGGTTTCTGAATTCTACACCCTGGAATCCTAATTCCAGGTACTAGATTTTGGATACCAATCGTTAGTAGATTCTGGATTCTTTGAAATGTATTCCGGATTCCAAAGCCCAGGATTCCCGATTCCACAGGCAAGAAGTTCCCGGATTCCGAATTCTAAAAACAAAATTTTTTTAGATTCCGGAATCCGGATTGATTCCCTTACAGCAAAATAGCCTAATAACTTGCTAAAACGGAAGGATTAAAAGAAAAAAAATATATAATATAGCTCGATGGATTTAAAGCCCTTTCGGTTCATATTCTGAATCTGTCAAGAGACAAGCAAATGTTTTGAAATTTGAACATTCTTCGAGGATTAAGGAAATTAATCACTTTCCTAAAATTCTTGAAACCCCATAAACCTTGCTTATTATTCTTTTCAAAAATTAAGCCGAAAGTATACTATATTTTTATTATGTCTAGAGCCTCTCGCAATAGGTGGCTCCGGCTTAAGTCAGTCAAAGCTTTGCGCAAAGAGCAGTAAATTTAACACATCAATGTTCTATATTTAACCCTTAATGGACGAAAATGTGGGACGGAGAGACGAGAAACCTCAATCTTGTACCCAGATCTCATTCAGTCACACACTGAAAAGTGAGATCTCCCTTTCCCTTGACCGTGAGGGATATGGGTACGAGATAAGAGAAACCCTGGGAACGAGTTTGGATGCAATTGAGCATGATTTTTATCAGGTAATTCCAAGGAAACTTACCCAAGCCTCGTGGAGAGATCAGACTCTTCATAAACAGTTGTTTCTCCTATAAGGTACGTGTAAATTGGTTTAAAAACGTATTTGATACACATTTGTTTTTCGACTGCCATCAAAAAACCAGGGCGTACCAACACCATCAAAATATATCCCAGAAAATCAATATTTTGAGGGCCAAAGATTCATGTTGTCGCTTTGCCGGCATAAATAAGCGCACTCAATGGGTTTTCAATGATACAGAAATAGAGAATACTTCATCAAGAGGAAAGTGCCCTAAAAAAATGATTTGCGCACGACTGGTTGTGTGTAAAAAATCGAACGAGCGAGATTCCTGATACAGAAAAAAATGTGATAAAGCCATTCAAAATATGAATAGCTGTATTTTGAGAAATATGTAGACATAGCTTACGAAAGCGATCAAATGGTTTGCACTCTATTTCAGTTTATGTTACATTCCTGTGGGTAACTCTCTTTCACTTTGCTTTATAAAGAGATCATTTTCTGGAATGGTGTCACGCTGCATCAAGTGCGATTGGTCTCAGAGGGTTCGCGGTTAAATCAAAATATATATGACGCTTTCTACTTTCTTGTAGTAAGTGAGTACAATTTAGCGTTGGTGTCTGTCAAAATCCTCTTACTACGGAATTCGTTTTGGGAAAATATTTCGCAGCCAAACGGTTCTAAGTCCTTTGTAGATTCTATAGTCACATCTTAATTCAGTTGCTCCAAACAAACGTAAAAGTGGTTAGAAACGTGTGGTTTTCAGTTCTGTTTTCATTCCCTTGCCATATCTTATTTTTAGAATACTCAAACCGGACAAGCCTCGAGTATTATGGCGGTAGGTGGAATATAAAATGTTCTCTGAGCCTTCCATCCTTACGTCTATTAAAACAATTAAATTGTTTGCACTTTTTTCAATAATTTCTTTCTCTTTAACCCAAATCATATCAAGCTTTGTTTGCTTCCTGCGACCGGCGTGAGGCTTCAAAACCGCTTACGATATCTTGTTCAACAGTAAAGCATAACTTGTTTAGCACAAAAACGTATTTGACGGCGCTTTTTGACGTTGTCTTGTAAGGATGCAAAACTGAGCAGTTTTTCATCTGATTTCCCAACACTCATTAAACATTAATTTTCTTCTTATTTTCTTTATGAATTATTAACGATTCTGAGAAAGATATGTAACTAACTCTTTCATTTCAGTTTTTATTATGCAGGACCAAATATCATTTTTTTTCGTTATTTTTATACGTTTAAGTTGGTTGAAGACTTGCTAAGAGGATTCTCTAAGGAAAATTTTGGTGATCGAGATGGAAACTATTTTCCTATTGTCCATGGCCGTACCCAAGATGTAAAGTTGTTTAGGGTTGGCGTACGGTATTTACGTACGAGTTGTTGACGTATCAGAAATCGAACAAGTGAGCGCAGCGAGCGAGTAAGATTTCTGATACAAAAACAACGAGTGTGTTAATACCGTACAAAGCACTTTGCGTGTGGTATTGTGTTTGTTATATACATACTGAGGCATTCATCATTTTGGCGGCCTTTTTATTTTAAATCTTTTAAAAATGCTAAAATTTGCCGCTACACACTTACCGCAAAATGACAACGAAAACAAAGTATCAGCTTTTTAGTAAAAACGTTTGTTAAAAACATAAATGACGGTAAGGATATGAGGTAATCCAACAACTATAAGTAATCTTAACTGTTTGTTCTCAATGCACAATGGAAAATGAGTGAATTTAAGTAAAATGGCCGGTTTCAATATAAGCTTAAGCTTAAATGAAAGGTAAAGCAGCTCCGACAAAAAGCGCAACAAAAGCTTACGTCTCGTTCTGTTTTTCCCTTTCAGCTGTTGTTTCGCCGGCTCTCTACCGTTTTCTTTATGACAGTGAAACAAACGAAACTATTCCACTCCATTTCCGAAATGTTTTTCACTTTTTTAGCGAGAGAAACTCTTTGAGTAAAACTTTTCTCGTTGAATCTGTGCGAAGTGGCGCTGCAAGCTGCAATAAAAGGCGGGAATTTTGGCGCGAAACTCACAAACCTCTGTGGCTTCTGATTTGACGTATCATTTTTTTCACGTGTGAAAACCATCGTTCGCTCCTCTGATTGGCTAGAACTAATTTGCGTACGAAAATTTACGACGTAGCTTTTTGGTGAGTATTTCTCAGTATGTATATAATAAAGTATTTTACGGCGCATTTTGACGTTGTCTTGTAGGGAGTTTAAGCAAAGACGACAGCGACGGCAACGAGGATGGCAACACATCAATAGGTTTAGATTAGTAAAACTATAACTTTGCATGTGCATCACGCTTTTTTGTACATTTTTTAGCCGTCGTTGCACGACTACAACGTGACAGTGCCTGATTTCACGTTTTGTCGAGGACCGAAACACAAGACAACTCTCCTTTTCTTTTTCTCAGAACTTTGATACAGTCCTTTAGAATTCAATTCCAAAAAATTTGCCAACCTTTGGAGAATTAAACGAGAAGGAAAACAAAGCAGCGCGAATTCACTTTTTAAGTGACGTTTTTGTAGTCGTCGCCGTCGTTGTTGCTTAAGCTCCCTAAATTCCTCTCAGCCATGCATATAGCCATAAAAGACGGTTGTGTGATAAAATCAAGAAGTTGGCTAGCATATTAATAAACTTTAACAATAGCAGTGAACCATGATGACGCCAATTATCGTTTAAAAAGGTACTGGATCCGACATCCTGGAACCGCCATGTTGAATTGATTAAATGTATTCCATTTTACTCAAAACCCGTCTATTTAAATGAAGGTAATCATGATAGATCTGTGCATAAAAGGATGCTTACAAGGAAGCATAAAAAAAAATTCAAATTTTGAAATTCCAAGAAAATTGAACACTGCTGAAAAATGAACCAAGCATCTGCCATTTAGTTATGTTACAGTCATGTTTTTTTCTCTCAAATTAGTCATTAAAATACCTGGATTACATCAACAGTTGTATCAAATTTGATGGGATAATGCTAAATAAAGTGTAATATAATACTTCAAAAAGTAAAAATTAAAATTAAACCTTTTATGAAATAGCAGATTTTGAAAAACAAAACTTGGTTGCCATTGAAACGTTAAAATTGACGTTCACGTCACGACGACTTTAAAATGTTCCCAGACAGGTTTTAGGAAAAGTCGCTAAGCTAGCTTGGTCATAGCTTGAACGTCCGGGTGGCCATGCGATTTCCCGCCAAATAACCTCGAGTTGTTTGTGTTAATTGAACTATTTTACATTGTTATGCTTGCGGTGCTGACGGACGGTCGGACGGGCGTATGGTCACGTGATTACCAAAATTTCTCGGATGGATGGATTACCAAATTTTCTTAGGTATGGGCTCCGCTAAGATCACCCCATAGTTAACTTGTCGGCTTTTAAGTAATTTGGTGCGGTTACAGTTATCATGTCTCATTTAAGCAAATTTTGTCGTGATGTTAAGGCATTCCTCTTAAATGCGCTCAAATACACCCAACGCACATGCGTTGTAGATAAAATCTGTTCTCAGGTTAAGCCAGAATTCCCTCGGGTGTCTGTAAAACCCAGAACAGGTCCGGAGCACCCTCAGAACACCCTGCAATAGCCCGGAACAGCCCCCTGAACGAAAAAAAATGATCGCCTGTCGGCCTCATGTTTGTTAGTCAGATGACTATTTCGAGTTACCGACGGAAAAGAAGGACTCTTTACCTTTTCTTTGAAGGGTGAAGAAGAAACTCAAACCTCTGCATCAATTGCGGTCGGCTGCTTCTTGACGTAATATATCAAGCATGGGATGTAGTGTTTCATCACCAGATGAAACACTGAAAAGAGAGTTGATAATAAGACGCGCATTTCGAGGTGTTTCATCTGGTGATCAAACACTGTGTCGAATGCTTGATATTACTTCTCAAACAAAATGATTTTAGAGGGAGAAATTAAGAATGCAAAACTGAGCAGTTTTTCATCTGATTTCCAAACACTCATTAAACATTAATTTTCTTTGTATTTCCTTTATGAAATATTAATGAATTTGAGAAAGACATTTATCTAACTCTTTCATTTCAGTTTTTATCTTACAGGGCAAAGTATCATTTTAATTTTTTCTTTTTTTAAATATTTAAGTTGGTTGACGACTTGCTACGAGGATTCTCTAAGGAAAATTTTGGTGATCGAGATGGAAACTATTTTCCTGTTGTCCATGGCCGTACCCAAGATGTAAAGTTGTTTACCCTGATGATAAGGCAACCTCGGTCCTTCCTGGCACGTCCATTTAAGCACCATAAGTACACAATTCTTGCAGGAATGAAAAAGTATGTAGTTGAGAACGAGAATGAAGAGTTTGAAGACTTGAAGAACAAATTTGTTAAGATAGAAGATCCTGGAATAACACTAGAAGAGGAGGATGGTACAGGAGCTGCAAGGTAAATTACATCACTGTTACATAACGCTGAAGAATTTGTATAGGTAATAGCATGATTTGTAGTAATATTTGGCCTAAATACCACGAGTGATATTTCAAAATTGTTATGCGTGAAGTTTGAGACAATTTTGAAATATCACGAGTGGTATTTATGCCAAATATCACGTACAAATCATGCGATTACTTGTTTATACTACTACCCACAACAGGTTTTGTAAGGGCCTGTTTACATGGAGGTGGAGGACCCCAGGTAGGTGAGGTAACCCGCTTAGGTGTGGTAACCCGCGTGTCCATATATAATCTCTCATTTTAATTTGATCACGTTCACATGATAGGTGGGGTGACCCGCCATTTGTTACCTCACCTTCCTGGGCCCCACCTCCATGTAAACAGGCCCTAATCTTCACATGTAGGTATTTCGAATTAAGCTGAAATACCACTGCTCTAAGCCAATCAAATTACAGAAATTTCTCATGTAGTAGTATGAATAAAAGTAATAGCACGATTTTCCAGTTACAGTTTTGTATCAATCATTCATCACAAGAAATATAAACTGGACAGAGAGGGAATATTGAGGCGTTGGCCAGGTTATGTGAAATTCACTCAAGTTATTTCTAGGGGTTGTAATTAAAAGGAAGTGTAATTCCTGAGACGTCCGCACATTTTAATCGATGGCTTGAAACGTCCTTCAGTGCCCCCCCAAAAAACAATACCTAATATTTTAATGGCGACTTCTGAATTCTCTCTTGATAACACTGAATAAACGTTTGAGGTTCTCGCCAGTAAACCAACTTTCGATTAGTTTGGTCTCAAAATATTTCTTTGTGTGAAATTTACAAATCCTAGGGGCTACACTGGGCCTTTTTCCCTGTCTGTCCCATTATTGTTTTTGCTGTCTTTTTTATAACGATTTTCTATCAGGACAACGCCCTCAATGGCTTTCAAAATGTCAAACATGGCAGTGAAAAAAGCAATGGAACACAGAAGACGATTTCTCAAAGTCTACTCATTAAAATTTTGTGACATTTGGCAGAAATTTTACTTTTATCGTATTTTAAATAATGAGAACTTTAAAATGGAAGTTGAACAGACGAATTTTGTGACACATTTAGTAATTACAGTACAATTATATTATTGATTATGTAAAAACCCGTCTGTTAAAATTTCGTCTAATAAATTCCAAATGGTAATGATTAATTATAGTAAGCTGTGTGCAAGTTTATAGGTAAACCTAATGAGCGAATTTTATGTAAACTGAGCAAAAGTGAAGGTTGTATTCAGTCGTTCATGATGCCATGGAAACTACAAAAACGTCACATTTTACCTGTCGATGAAAATCTTTCGTCAGTATATTTTTCAGTTTCAGCTTGTGAGCTGCAACCTTTCTCTTGCCATGATTTGGCAAAAAACATATACTCACAAACTGCCACAACTGTGCTCAGCCACCTTTAATCAAACAATAAACTAGTAATCCACAAATCCGTTAACTTAAGGGCACATTCATGTGACTTATGAGGGAAAGGCTAAGTATTTTACAGTGAAACATCTTACATCGAGTTGATAGCCTTACATGTACACCCAAAAACCGCAATCATCTTCGATCACATTCAGGAACCATAATGGCTCTTGATCACAGTAGATTAGGCCTGGAAAACAAATCGGGCCGAATTTTTTGCTTTCGACAAATTTACTTTACAAAATCTTGCCAACAAATTTGGGGGTGTGTGAACCAACTATTTATACTTTTTATACGTCACATCTGAGATGAAACAGTACTTTTTATTATACAGACCACGGACAGAATGCAGTATTTCACAATTTTTCAAGACAAATTGCACTTAGTCAATATTCAGACTGTTCAGCAAATTTCCAAAATCACCTATACGGCCAGCCGGTTGTCACTTTTGACGAACGCCAAATTTACAGTGAACATTAATAGAGTTACGCTTCAATATAATAGAGAATTAAATTATGTTTTTTTTACTATTTAATGGTTTTATAATGATGTGTAATCTTAAAAAGCGTTTGATACGCGCGGCATTTTGAGTACTCCTGCAAGCGATGTTCATGAACGACTGAAAACAAACGGCACAGCGATTAAAATTGCAAGAGAGACTACTAACAATCAATAAAAGAAATATAAGTCGGTGAAACATTTAACGAGACAACAATTTTCATGAATAACAGAAGACTCTTCACAACAGCTGTATTTCATTTTATACATCCAGTGGAAAAAGACAGTTAAAAACATCACAAGTTGACACAAAACTCTGACAGCTTTAGCTGTCAAAGTAAACAAGTTTGAAGATGCTGCAAAAATTTTCCGCATGAACTCACCTGTCAAATTTTTACCAATCAGAGCATAAAAATTAAACGTAGAGCGTGACCAACGCGTGACCTTGGTATGAAAAGGTCTTCCCCGCCTGTATTTCTAAATAACTGGCTGAATTTTGGTGTCCGAGGTTAGTTTAAAATCAGAATCTTAATAGTGCGGGAACGTAGTGACATGAACACAACATATATCATATGAATTTTTAAAAAATAAACTTAGGCCTGTGATCATTTGAAAACTAGTAACTTGTCAGCGAATAACTTCAAAAAAGTACTCGACCTCGATGGGTTGACACCTGTGCCCGCAATACGGTCAGGTGATACGGATCAGCGGATACCTTGTTTTGACAGCTGTCAATTGATCCATGGACATTATCCATGATTGATCACAACATTGATGTGCAATCAGTTTTCTCCTGGGTTCCCAAAGTAGTTAGAAAGTGTGAAAGTAAACATTGGTTTTCCTGTGTTGCGGACGGACGGACGGCGGTTGGTCGGTCGGTCGGTGTACGGTCACGTGATTACCAAATTTTCTGGGATGGGTAGATTTACATAGGTATGGGGCTCCGCCCACGCGCGCGCTCGGTGAGATCTAAAAAGAACGTAACTGCACTAATTACTACGGCTAGTAGATTTGGGAAGGTTTATTTTTATTATTCATTGCTATTTTTTACTTTAAATTATGCTTAATTCTTTATAATTATCATAAGAAAGAGTTCCACGTAAACGTGTCAAAAAATTCCCTGTACTTAGGCAGTTTCAGAATTGGCGTCTAAATGTGATCACTTTGTGTTTCTAATTCAGAATGGTAGAAATGGAAACCCAGGCTGCTGACTGCGTCAATGCAGGGATTAGAATGAAAAAAGATCTGGGATTCTTACACCTAGGGAAAATTGATCAGGAGTACATACAGGACCCGGACTTACGTGAAATATTGGAAAAAACAGTCCTGGATAGTAATAAAACAAGAGTGTTTGAAGACCAAGAACTGCGTTTGATAACCTCAGTAATTTACAGCCAATGCTTTGCAGTTAAAGGCAATAGAAAGAAAGAGGTATTTTAATTTCTGATAACTACCTAACAGTATATGGACGTTGGTCCAGCCGGTTTAACTTTGTGATGTAATTTTCGGGAAGAAAATAAGGTTACAATACAAACGAAACTTTCCCAGTGTTTATTGATCTGTGTACCTTGTTAAGCTCGATTCGAGGGTTTCCTGATGCTAGCGAAGGCTGGAAAATCAAGTTAACGCGAACGTTGTGTTCTGCTGTTTGTGTCTTTTTTTATGGTGCCTTAAATTACTTGGATATATTTTGAATTCACGCATATGCGATTAAGTGTGTTAAGAAAGCTAATTTTTGGTGTGCACGGCGTAAAAGAACTGTTCTTTCGACTTGCAAAAAGATTTGGTCGACAGGTTGAAATTTAAAACGAAAGTTGTAGATAATATTCCAAAGTAAGTTTTGCGTAGTAGGTCCTTGGTCTGGTCACCGGACGATAACATAAACCAGCCAAATAGTGATTGAATAGGGAAAGCCTCAGAAAGTTCAATTTTCGTTTCGTTTAGTTCTTATTAAATTAGGATTCAAGAACTGAAGTGAGGATCTTTCGACTTTGAGTCACATTTTAAGTAAAGCACTATCAGTGAGTGTTAAATGTATTGCTCGAGACTTTCCCAGTAGCACTGTACTTTATTTATTACGTAATGATGTAGAAGGCCATAAAAAGGAAGCTTATAATCCGTCCGATCGGTTTCATTAGGGAGCTTTAACAAAGTCAAAAAATTCAAGCAGTGGGTAGTTTTAGGTTTTTAATACTGAAGCAGAACATTACTCTGCACGGACTGCACGTTCATGATGACGCACGCTTTTCGGTCGGATTTCTTTGATGTTGCTGGACGACTAAAGGTGATGTTACACGAGATGATTCGCAACGACGATTTTTAGCGCAACACAGCGTTGCAACATTGTTGCGACATTGTTTCGAATAGTTACAATATTGTTCCAACATTGTAACGCTGTGTTGCGCTAAGAATCGTCTGTGCCAATCGTCCCTTGTAACATCACCTTAAGACATAGAATTTCCCGTGCCTAGTTCCTCGAAAGATGATTAAGTTTAACCCAGGATCAAGCCAAATTGTAAGCAAGGTTTTGTAGTCTAAGAACGTGTAATTCGAGCTTACAAAATACTGTTGTGCCTTTACTTGAAAAAAAAAAAAAAAAAGAAATGATGACACAAAATGCTACAATAGGTAATGTATAGGAAGGTAAATACAAAAAATGGAACAAAATTTTAATCCTGGATTAGCGCTAATCGGCCTTTCAGGAACCGCGCCCTGATAGGAAGTTTTTTCGGGGGTCGCAAACAAAGCGACGAAAATTTTTTTTCCTCTCTAAACTTAGATTGAATTCATTTAATATAGTGGCGATTTCGCTTCCGTCGCATCGTTACTGCACGGCACACATTCGCACAGAAGTGAGTAATTCTTCATGAGACCAAACTATAGCTCTTTACACAGAAATCTCATTTTGGTTTCGAAGTTAAAATGATGTCTACAGAAAATATACAGGAATTTAGATCAGTTGGTGCTTGGAACCTTTAATTCTTTTTGCGCACTTTTGATGCCGGCCTACAAAGTGCCCAAAGTGGCCGGACGAAGGAACCACTGGCCGAACCAGGAGCTTTCAAACGGAGCGGTCATTTTCTATGACGCAGCATTTTCGGAAAAGTTCAGAAGCTGTCGGTTTGTCACAGGTTAGTAAAATGTAAAGGCAACTTACAGGACAAATTTGAGCTCAATACTCCTCTTCTAAGATAAGAGATACTCATTTACGTCCTTTTCGTCCGGACCAAGGACAACATATTGTATTCCTTTAATATTCAAAGTAACAAATAAAAGCATAAAAAGGATATTGCTAAGCATCTATAGCAACCAAATGAATCGTAAGATCTACTTTAAAGCAATGTAAAGGCTATTGATAAAATAATTGTTCAGTTAATCCTAGCTAATCGTGTTATCTTCGAAGGTGGAAGTGGACGGAGGATTCAACCTTTCGACCATCTTTGCTCAGTTGAAGGGAACCATCAGGATGACAGATATTCCTCCAAATATAGCACCAAGAAAGAATAATCGAGGACCATTCCTGTTCCAGTGTTGCCGTGTTGTCTTTAACAAAGAGACAAACCGATTGGAACTCCCCAAGGGAGAGATTGTTGGTAAAACTGTGAGATGTAAAGAAGAAGAGAAGGAGGACGAGTACGAAAACACCGCAGTCAGCTTGGTGGAGGACGAGGAGAGTAATTTGACTGGTTAGATCAAAATATAATTCTGGGTCTCTAACGTTCTTTCACATTCGCAAAAAAACTGTAGTGATTGCAATTATCATTGGGTGCTTCCAATGTCTTGCTGGAGGTGAAAATGGCGATATCAGTTTTTTTCCGGAAGAGAATTTTAATAGCTGTATTAAGCTGATGTTTAGTTGTTCTTTACATAATATTGAATAACAATGTTAATATTAATAAAGGCGATAAACTAGCATATTATTGTGATTAGCCAAGCCTAAAAGCGGAGCTTCCTTTACATACTTACAAGTACAAGTAGGTCAGAAGATAACAGAATACACTGTAGTTATGAGGCCAGTTACTACAAATATAATTTGTCCCACTAGTGCCTTTCGAAAGATTCAGTGTTATTTTGCCAACAACGGAAAGTCACTCTTTAATAAATATACACTCAATATTTTCTATATTCTAGATTTTTTGACAACTGACGATATTGCGAAACTGGAGGAGATAAAGGATTCAGTGTTGAAACCTACCAAGAACAGAGAGAAGCGTAAAGAACGGGTCAAAAAGTACCTGAAGTGGGTAAGAACAATTACAGCAAATAATCAGTCACGTTCAAATCAATTTTCTTAAACCTCGAACCAAATGATTTTTTGGCGAATTTTTTCAAAATGTTCTTAAGCACGAGTTACGCCAATTCTGCTTTCTGTAAAAAATCCCTGGAAAAAAAGTTTCGTGAAAACTTTGTTGACAATCGGTTGCCATGGGTACGAGATGACTTACTTGATCTGAAATAAAAATATTTTTAAGCAAAAAAAGCGGTTTTATAAATAAGTTATTCATGCGAAGAAAAGACAAACTTAAGAACGTCCAATTGCAACATATTTTAGACTAAAAGACGAAACGCACTTCTTTCGAACACTTCACTATTCTACCCCTCTCTAGATTTTTCTCCGTGCTAAGGTTTCTTTGCGCCGTCTGCCCTAACACGCTTTCAATAGGCATTTATGGCGAAAGTATAGTCAACTATTCCAGCCTCTAATTTCAGTTCAGGTTCGTCAAAACGATTTAAACTATTTTGAGCAGGGGGCTTAAGTCTGTAACAGACTGGTATTCAGTCAGAGTGAGACTAAGTGGATGCTATCTAGAACTAGACAAAAACTGAAACACTGACTGAAACTTTCGTCAGACATTGCAAATGCAACTTCTTGGGAATACATTGAGGGAGTGCCGAGCTTTTGCTGTCTAGGAGATCGTTAGATCAGTATACGCTATAAGTAGACTAACAACTGGCGTTTACACTCATTACTTTTCAGTTTGTTGACGCGCTGTCAACAAGGCCAGTAGCGGAAAAGAGAGTGTTGTCACTTGACAAGCCTGTCACTGATGTGGACTGTGAATTTCTACGAACCATTTTTGTTCCTGCCAATAAGAATAGTTCAACGCTGACTTTCCCGCATTTATTCAACGACGAAAAACTTCAGGGATATGCAATTGTTTTGAAGATTCTCTCTGGTAAGACATAAAACGTGACACATATGGACAGGAGAAACGGGCCACAGGAAAGACTCTCCTGAACTTATGTCATTAAAAAAGTAGAAGACATTTTTTTCAAACTGCATCTGAAGATCGCTTATCGTTTCCACTGTTGTGATCAAGGATAAGTGAAGAAGGAAGCTTTAAGGGAAAAAACATCGTTATTATTTGTTTCACCAATTAACATAACTGATCCTGATTATAAATACGATGGGAGATCAGCTTATCGCAATTCAGACAAAATGCTATGAAAGGCCATCTTCTAAAGAATTAAGAAACAATATTACGATCACATCCAGTTAGTCGCAATCTGAAGTAATGGTACAATGGTCGACGAAAGAGTTTTATAAGTGAATTTATTTTGATGGTAACTGAGGTAGGATTTTTATCTAAGATTTTAAGGTCCAGAAATAATAAATTATAATTATTTCTTTGAAATAAACTGATTTCGGATCACAGATCAAGCTCAAGAGATGGTTAGAATCTTCGCTGGGTGAGGGGGATTTGAGTTTTGTTTAATACTGGACTGTAGCAATAATTTGAAGTTACTGAATTGCAGATTAAGTTTTCTTTCTCGATGCACTCAACAGATTTGTCGGAGGAAACCTGGGATGAAATTGAGACAGCCTGGGCCGAGCAGGAAGAGCCTTTGGAGTGAAACAAAAGAAGTAGCTGATTGTTTTCAGGAGCAAATTGAGTTTGCATCACACGAGTCAATGTTGTAGTTGCGAGGTGTGACAAATATTTGAAATAGTCCTTTAATTGGAAGTAATATGATACCCCGGTCATAATCACGTGGTTTCCAATCATTACCCCAGTAAGGGGATTGTTTCAGTTATATCGTAAATTTTGGTAAAACATTTAATACAAGCGAAAGCTATCACAGATGAAAACGCTCTTAACTTGGAGCATCAGTGGTGAGGTTTTTAATTTCAAAGTATCAGTACTCCTACAGAGACTCAAAATTTCCACAAGTTAGTACTTGTAATCAAATGGTGACGAGTGAAATTAGGGAATTATTTCACTCGTGTTTTGTCCAAATCCTAATAATTTCCCGAGCCTTTTGATTACCAATTGATATTATGGATGACGAATTGCACTCAAAGTCGTTTTTTTTGGATAAATTTATCACGTTGATTATAGATTGAGAACTCCGCGCACTGAAAACTTTAGATCTTAAATTTTGCCTTAAGTTCAGAATTGATGTGCTTTTTCGTGTGTTTAGGTTTTCTAATGTCTTTTAATGCCCGTGACATCTTCATTCATAACATTTTAAAACTTCGTCGCTATCTTTCACTGACACGTACGGAAGGTTTCCATTTCACATGTGAAATTACAAATTAATGCTGAAATTTCGCGTCAAAATTAAGGAGTAATTCGTCAACCATGATTTTACTGAAGGAGATTAATCCATCTCCCTATCCTAAAATGATAAAAATTCTAACATTTGTCAACTTGTTTCCGCCACTTCGACATTCTCGCCAAAATTCGTAGTAGGATGACTACGGCTATCGCGTTTCCCCGCTAAAATGACTTTGGTTCATGCGCGTGCACTAAAAACTCGTACCTGTAGTCTCACTCGTCTTAGAATCTAACGGTCTTTATTGATCGGGACGTTTCGACCGCTTACTGCTGGTTTCAATTACGCGTTAATGCAGATTTGCTGTGAGGTACTATTAGTGGCACCATGGCTGCTAGTGATTAAGTTTCGAATCTCAACCATGGTTGTTAATTTCTATCCTTTGCATTGTCATTTTTTTTGCTTTTCTCGGGGGTTCGTTTTGCCCCTTAATTCTGTAATGAAAGCTTGTGTTGAAGCGTACTTCTAAATCTTAGTGAGTAATTTTGAGGTACGTAAGTAGGAAAATCGACACCATCGCCTGATGAAGAGGACTAGCAGTACGCGATCGAAACGTCCTGATCAATAATTGTGAGACAATTGTGAGACAAACGTTAAACAAGTCCTTTTAATAATTACGGTATAGGCCCTCGCAGAGTACATTACATAATTGCTTTGTAACGGGAGGTAAAATACCGAGACAAATTTCTACTATGTTAGAATTTTGAGCTCTGTAGGTTTTATGTTTGCAAAATATGTATATTGCATTAGTTGAAAGTTTTATAGCTAAAACCCACCTGCCAAGAATTTCTGTACTTTTCTAGGAAGTTGCACCAACAGTGAAGACAATACCTGTGGGTATGTGTTCAAAAATTTCAAATGGCTGTTTAAAGTCTTGTCATCAGCTTTTATTAGTTACAAGTACGGTGAAATTTAGGCCCTGTCCACACGCAGTCGTATTCGTTTGAAAACTCAACTGCCTTTATTTTGGTCACCCTATTGGACCGTGCGTTGGTGTCCTTTTATAGCAACAGTCCTTGATGTCGCAGCGCGCGATATGTCTTTGGAAACATCTATTATATAAATGGGTAACATAGATTTTATATTTAGGCTGAGTGTAGTTCCTCTTGTGCGTTAAGTATTTTAATGGAATGGATGAACATTAGGCAGGAGACAATATAAGCAGTTTTAAGAGTTAAAGAAGAAGAGTGAGCTTGAAACTCATTAACACAGGGAAGCGTTAACCTTTCAATGCTAGTGTTCTCTTGTCCTTCAGTGACAGGGTCTCTGTGATAGTGAGAATTGACTGTACTTACTGGGTTAAGTAAACTGCGAGCAAGCTTCCTAAAGTCACTTTACCAGTTTTGCTCCAGACAATTTGTATATGTTGTGGTCCATTTTTATCTTGGTTTATTATTTTTTTTGTTTAAACCATTATCATGCATTACAATGCCCAAAAACAAATGGACATAAATTGAACCACAACATATACAGTTTTTTAAACTACATTATGTTCCGCCATGTGGAAGTTTGTTGCCTTATACCAAGACTTGTGAACATAATTTAACACTTTATATCTTTTTGTGAAGTATTTTTATTTGATTAATTGGTAGCTGTAGAAACCTCAAAATCCTACTTTTTAAGAATCTACAGCGATAGTTACATAAATATTAAAACAAGTGAACGTCATTAAAACTGTCTTATATGATAGGCCGACTGTTTTAAAACCCTCAGCACAAATCACCCAACTCTCTCTCATTTCACTTAAATGACATGACATCACATCGATCGCGGTCGACGGTAGTCGTAGAGGCGGTTCTGGTAGTAACCACAGTCGTAATCCTGTAGCCGAAGGATATTACCTGAAACAACAGCTGGAAATGACAGTCGGTTATGGAGGTGAGACACGATGATGATGATAATCTGCAAATTAAATTCCCTTTGGAGATTTTTATAGTTATGTTGATAACTCTCAGCTTTGACTATCTTTTAAGCTAAGCTGTGCTTAGATGATGATGTATCAGGGACGTCAATCATTTCATTTACTCCGACAAACTTATGCTTAACGACGTCAAAAACGAATTTCCAGGCATAGCACCACGGTATCTATTAAAAAATGGCTGCTGTCAGCGCCATCAGGGTATCGTGATGTATCCAAAGTGAGGATTGTGCGGAATTTGGGAGCGTGATTCGATGACCAGTTAACTTGATGACGTACACATTCCTAAACAAATGCACTAGTCCTCTTTTTTTTTTCACTGCCTTTTTAGTAGCTAAATAGACTACCATGATAGTCTATTAAATGGTCTGCCTTAGTACCTCAACACCATTTTATGACTGGCTACTTTTCTGATGCTTTAAGAGATACAAGAGGCTCTGAAGATAAAGACGGACAAGGGTGGGGAGAAGATCACAGTAAATAACTTAAGGTTATTTTGACTGAAACTTTTATCAATGATTAAGAGAAAGTGGGTAAGTACTTTATGCCATGAAAGTACACAAGTGCGATATGTATATAATTTATGTACGCATGGGTTATTGGCATAACTAGAACTAAGAGTGTAAACTGTAAACCCGGTGAGAGGTAATGCAATTAAAAACCACGATACCACCCTTAGACTGCTATTTTCGGACCATAGACCCAATTTAAAAATGGCCGCTGGAATAATTAACAATTATTTCTCAAGCCCGAATGGGCTCTGAGTCAATAGCCCATGAGGCCGAAGGCCGAGTGGGCTATTAACTCAGAGGCCATGAGGGTGAGGGGAATAATTGTTTTAGTAAAATCCAACTAGTTGGTCAAAAATATGGAGACAAAACATTTTTAGCTAGCTAACGCGATTCAGCCGCCATTGTTTTGGTTTTCAAAGCCGGCGCTTTTCGCTACTAGAGGGCTATAACATATGGCCTAGTAGATAGTTCAACCAATCAGAACGCAGCACTGTTAATAGACAATTAGTTGGATTTTAATAATATTCTTTAGCCTCTCTCCTCCGCAAAGGTCTCACTGTGTTGTGGGGAGGCTGGGGACAAAGGAAAAGAGAGCGCGTTCTTTTTTTTCGATTATTGCTATTTTTATCCAGCGCGAGCCTCTGCGGAGGGAGAGAGTTCTTTAGCTGAAATTAAAATTAGTCGCACCGACCTCGCTCGAGATGACGGGTATTCCTGTGACTTTTGAAATCAAGAACGAGGCTGGTTTTAATATGAACAAAAAAAATTAAACGAATGGCAACCTTTCCATCTGGTCTATGGGCTCAGGATATCTAAAAAAAGCTTTAGTTTTGCTAATAACATTTCACATTCGAACAAGTTGTATGTATAAAGGAGAAAATGTAAATATAGGCTACGAAACCGATCAAACGGTTTGCTGGCTATTTCGGTTTGTGTAGCATGACTCTTTTTTATAATGGTATCGTCTCCTAAAACTGTGTCATGATGCATCGAGTGTGATTGGTGCTAACGAATACGCAGTTTAATCAATCATATCTATATATTTATGCTGTTTTCGAGTTTAACTCTATAAAGGGTACGTTTTGTTTTTCTGCGTAAGTTACTAAACTTAAACATTTTTTCATCTACTGAATATAACCATTGCATTGAGTGGTAAAAACAATCTACTGAGCCGAGCCTTTTTTTGTCCTTTTAAATTTTAAAACTTGAACTGACAAAGAGAAAACAACCATATCCTTACATTATCATCATCATGATACCCGCTAAAATGACTTTGGTTCATGCGCGTGCACTAAAAACTCGTACCTGTAGTCTCACTCGTCTTAGAATCTAACGGTCTTTATTGATCGGGACGTTTCGACCGCTTACTGCTGGTTTCAATTACGCGTTAATGCAGATTTGCTGTGAGGTACTATTAGTGGCACCATGGCTGCTAGTGATTAAGTTTCGAATCTCAACCATGGTTGTTAATTTCTATCCTTTGCATTGTCATTTTGTTTGCTTTTCTCGGGGGTTCGTTTTGCCCCTTAATTCTGTAATGAAAGCTTGTGTTGAAGCGTACTTCTAAATCTTAGTGAGTAATTTTGAGGTACGTAAGTAGGAAAATCGACACCATCGCCTGATGAAGAGGACTAGCAGTACGCGATCGAAACGTCGTGATCAATAATTGTGAGACAATTGTGAGACAAACGTTAAACAAGTCCTTTTAATAATTACGGTATAGGCCCTCGCAGAGTACATTACATAATTGCTTTGTAACGGGAGGTAAAATACCGAGACAAATTTCTACTATGTTAGAATTTTGAGCTCTGTAGGTTTTATGTTTGCAAAATATGTATATTGCATTAGTTGAAAGTTTTATAGCTAAAACCCACCTGCCAAGAATTTCTGTACTTTTCTAGGAAGTTGCACCAACAGTGAAGACAATACCTGTGGGTATGTGTTCAAAAATTTCAAATGGCTGTTTAAAGTCTTGTCATCAGCTTTTATTAGTTACAAGTACGGTGAAATTTAGGCCCTGTCCACACGCAGTCGTATTCGTTTGAAAACTCAACTGCCTTTATTTTGGTCACCCTATTGGACCGTGCGTTGGTGTCCTTTTATAGCAACAGTCCTTGATGTCGCAGCGCGCGATATGTCTTTGGAAACATCTATTATATAAATGGGTAACATAGATTTTATATTTAGGCTGAGTGTAGTTCCTCTTGTGCGTTAAGTATTTTAATGGAATGGATGAACATTAGGCAGGAGACAATATAAGCAGTTTTAAGAGTTAAAGAAGAAGAGTGAGCTTGAAACTCATTAACACAGGGAAGCGTTAACCTTCCAATGCTAGTGTTCTCTTGTCCTTCAGTGACAGGGTCTCTGTGATAGTGAGAATTGACTGTACTTACTGGGTTAAGTAAACTGCGAGCAAGCTTCCTAAAGTCACTTTACCAGTTTTGCTCCAGACAATTTGTATATGTTGTGGTCCATTTTTATCTTGGTTTATTATTTTTTTTGTTTAAACCATTATCATGCATTACAATGCCCAAAAACAAATGGACATAAATTGAACCACAACATATACAGTTTTTTAAACTACATTATGTTCCGCCATGTGGAAGTTTGTTGCCTTATACCAAGACTTGTGAACATAATTTAACACTTTATATCTTTTTGTGAAGTATTTTTATTTGATTAATTGGTAGCTGTAGAAACCTCAAAATCCTACTTTTTAAGAATCTACAGCGATAGTTACATAAATATTAAAACAAGTGAACGTCATTAAAACTGTCTTATATGATAGGCCGACTGTTTTAAAACCCTCAGCACAAATCACCCAACTCTCTCTCATTTCACTTAAATGACATGACATCACATCGATCGCGGTCGACGGTAGTCGTAGAGGCGGTTCTGGTAGTAACCACAGTCGTAATCCTGTAGCCGAAGGATATTACCTGAAACAACAGCTGGAAATGACAGTCGGTTATGGAGGTGAGACACGATGATGATGATAATCTGCAAATTAAATTCCCTTTGGAGATTTTTATAGTTATGTTGATAACTCTCAGCTTTGACTATCTTTTAAGCTAAGCTGTGCTTAGATGATGATGTATCAGGGACGTCAATCATTTCATTTACTCCGACAAACTTATGCTTAACGACGTCAAAAACGAATTTCCAGGCATAGCACCACGGTATCTATTAAAAAATGGCTGCTGTCAGCGCCATCAGGGTATCGTGATGTATCCAAAGTGAGGATTGTGCGGAATTTGGGAGCGTGATTCGATGACCAGTTAACTTGATGACGTACACATTCCTAAACAAATGCACTAGTCCTCTTTTTTTTTTCACTGCCTTTTTAGTAGCTAAATAGACTACCATGATAGTCTATTAAATGGTCTGCCTTAGTACCTCAACACCATTTTATGACTGGCTACTTTTCTGATGCTTTAAGAGATACAAGAGGCTCTGAAGATAAAGACGGACAAGGGTGGGGAGAAGATCACAGTAAATAACTTAAGGTTATTTTGACTGAAACTTTTATCAATGATTAAGAGAAAGTGGGTAAGTACTTTATGCCATGAAAGTACACAAGTGCGATATGTATATAATTTATGTACGCATGGGTTATTGGCATAACTAGAACTAAGAGTGTAAACTGTAAACCCGGTGAGAGGTAATGCAATTAAAAACCACGATACCACCCTTAGACTGCTATTTTCGGACCATAGACCCAATTTAAAAATGGCCGCTGGAATAATTAACAATTATTTCTCAAGCCCGAATGGGCTCTGAGTCAATAGCCCATGAGGCCGAAGGCCGAATGGGCTATTAACTCAGAGGCCATGAGGGTGAGGGGAATAATTTTAGTAAAATCCAACTAGTTGGTCAAAAATATGGAGACAAAACATTTTTAGCTAGCTAACGCGATTCAGCCGCCATTGTTTTGGTTTTCAAAGCCGGCGCTTTTCGCTACTAGAGGGCTATAACATATGGCCTAGTAGATAGCTCAACCAATCAGAACGCAGCACTGTTAATAGACAATTAGTTGGATTTTAGTAATATTCTTTAGCCTCTCTCCTCCGCAAAGGTCTCTCTGTGTTGTGGGGAGGCTGGGGACAAAGGAAAAGAGAGCACGTTCTTTTTTTTCGATTATTGCTATTTTTATCCAGCGCGAGCCTCTGCGGAGGGAGAGAGTTCTTTAGCTGAAATTAAAATTAGTCGCACCGACCTCGCTCGAGATGACGGGTATTCCTGTGACTTTTGAAATCAAGAACGAGGCTGGTTTTAATATGAACAAAAAAAATTAAACGAATGGCAACCTTTCCATCTGGTCTATGGGCTCAGGATATCTAAAAAAAGCTTTAGTTTTGCTAATAACATTTCACATTCGAACAAGTTGTATGTATAAAGGAGAAAATGTAAATATAGGCTACGAAACCGATCAAACGGTTTGCTGGCTATTTCGGTTTGTGTAGCATGACTCTTTTTTATAATGGTATCGTCTCCTAAAACTGTGTCATGATGCATCGAGTGTGATTGGTGCTAACGAATACGCAGTTTAATCAATCATATCTATATATTTATGCTGTTTTCGAGTTTAACTCTATAAAGGGTACGTTTTGTTTTTCTGCGTAAGTTACTAAACTTAAACATTTTTTCATCTACTGAATATAACCATTGCATTGAGTGGTAAAAACAATCTACTGAGCCGAGCCTTTTTTTGTCCTTTTAAATTTTAAAACTTGAACTGACAAAGAGAAAACAACCATATCCTTACATTATCATCATCATGATACAAAAAAGGTTGTGAAACACATCATTACTTAAAAGGCCGGTAGGGATAAAGGTCATTAGCCATAAAAATTCTCGGGTTATCCGCAGTTACCACACTTTGCTCAGCCAATCAGAATTGTGCACAGGGCGAGATGATAAACAAATATTTAATGAGACTCGGGGAAGTAAATAAAAGGGTCTGAAATAAGGCTGACTGTTGAGTAATAGCTCGAAGGGATTCAGCTACTTAAGCTGCAGGGAGACTGAATACCGGATTACATCATAAAATTTCTTTTGTCTTGCAAGGTAAGGTGACTGAAAACCTCCCTCAAAACTCCTTTTCTTAATATAAGTAAAAGAAAAACTCCAAAAGTTCAAGGCATACGAAACTGGCGAAAATCGATATTTAGTTGTTAGAGACTGATATGAGTGCTAAATTAACAGAAAACAAACAATAGCCGGGCAGTGAAAGAGTAAAAGAGAATGCTTCTGCACGGTAATCTTACCCAATTTGGAAACGTTCTTTGCGGAGCATACAGAGGGGCAAAAGCAGAAACGTCCATACAAAGTATCGTTCGGTCAGGCAATAAACTTACTGAGGAAAATACTAGGCGAAGTATCGCTACTGTTAAAGAGAAGGGGAGTTTTAAAAAAAGGGAATTAGTAACAAACACTGTAAAATGCAATGAACTAAATCCGTTTGGAGTGTACGAGTTTAGGGTGATTAGAAGGAAGAGCCCAATTATGGCAAGAAATAGCAGCAACACTCAGGTCTGGAATAAATGTTAACCGCTTTCGGCCTGGAGAAAGGCCTTGGGAACTGAATTGAGAGCGAACATTTTTTTAGTGTCCTAAAACCGTTTTTTCAGGGCGACATGTTTAAGAGCACCAACAACGAAGGCGTCGTGTCGTGTTTAAGAACGTAAACAACAAACTAAAATGCCAGGGTTTACACATTAAAATGCAATACGCGATACATAAATATGCACCAGGAAAGAAATTGGATTTATTTCTCTTGCATACTAATACTAAACTACTTCGCATATTAATCAGCGGTTTATTTGGCCCTCTTTTCCTTTCTTACAATCAAACCCGGGCTTGTGTTTGAAGACGGTTGATTTGGAATTATGAGATATATAGCCTCCCTAACCCTCCCTCTCCCCCCCCCCCCCCAAAAAAAAAAAAAACGGACAAACGAATGTCCAGATCCTGTCGATCGGATCTCGAGGTTGACCACTAAGATAAAGCAGCGAAAGGATTAAAATCACCTCTTTTCAAGTGTCAACATCAAATCTTAGAGCCGTTTCTCCAAGATATTGAAAATTCGGGATAACTGAGGAAGACAAACCTAAACAATTATAGAAGCACATGGTTTTCAGTTTTCATTCCTGATCAGTTTCTTTCCCATATCTTGTTTTTAGAGGACTGAACACGCACAGACAAGCTTGAAGTATTATGGCGGTAAGTTGAATATAATATGTTCTCTGATTCTGGAATCCAGAGTCTTGCCACAAAAAGGTTAAGTTGTATTAAGTTGCTTGCCTTTTTTTTTTTTCAGTTTTTTACTCTTTGATTCACGTGTGTTCGGTTTCGGTGATGAACGGTATATTTTATATACGCATAATATTGATATTACTAGTAAGAACCTGGTGGTTTAAGCTGTCAGACATTTCCTATTTTAACAACTAAAATACTAAGTTAAAAACATTTTATGAGCTGTACCTGTTTAGCCAAGCAAGATCAAGTAAGCTCTTTTCTGTGGCATACAGTCAAATTATGACAAACATTTTAACCACGAAGTTTGACTTTGAGATTGGAAATTTTATAGCAGTCTTATATTTCCTTCACAGAAAATAGAAACCGAATTTAAGAATTAATCTTGTTAGGCTGAATTGCGAATCACTACTTAAAAATACAGGAACCTATTTCGCCAGAAGTCCAAAAATGCAAGTTCTTACACGTGGGAAGGGGTTTTATTGTTATAAACGGGGAAGTCATACATGACTTTCTTGCTAATTATTATGGTACCAGATGCCTTGTTGATGAACCCCTGATTGACAAGCGTTCGAAAGCGGAGTAGAGAATTCGGGTGCACCGGAAACGTACCGCTTGCATGTATACTCGCTCACCCTATCCCATAGGCTAGTCTTTTTTTACTTAATATCGCTCCCCTCCAGCTCGCTTTATGACTCCTTTCTCCCGTGAAACTCGCGAGGAAGACTTTTGGAATGCATTGTGCTCCAAATGTGAGAACGCACGTTTGTTGGGAAGAGGCACACATCGGCAACTTTGACAAGATTCATGCACGTATTCGTAAGATTATTGAAGCAGTTCGATAACGTGACTCGTAAATCTTTTCAGTTGACTTAGTCATTACGCTAATCATACGGATTAACAGAGGTTTTATATATTTTGCATTCAGTTGATTGACAAGTTGCTACGTGAATTCGCGAAGGAAAATTTTGGTGATCACGAAGGAAGCTATTTCCCTGTTGTCCATGGCCGAACCCAAGATATAAAGTTACTTACGCTTGTAGTAAAGAAACCTACTACATCCGATCAAGAATGTGGAGTCAAACCGCAGAGGTACACCGTTCTTGCGGAATTAGGAAGGTACGCATCTGAGGAAAACGCTGAAGAATTTGAGGCCATGATGAAGAAACACATCGTAAAAGAAGACTGCGGGATATTACCAGAGGGTGAAAATGAAGATGATAAAGGAGCTAGAAGGTAACGATGGAACGATCTTCCCCTTTTTATTAGAAATATATCTTCATTTAATGCTTTCAAGAAGGCTCTTAAAACTCATTTATTTCAGAAGGCGTTTCCCAGCTAATTTATTGTTTTTATTCTCTTTATTAAGAGGGATTTGTATATAGGATATTAAAGATAAATTATTATTTTTAAATTGTTATTTTTACTAATTTTTAAGGAACGATCTGTAAATTTTGTTTTTGGAATATGTATTAGGATTTTAGGATTTTGTTGAGTCAATGTTATGCGCAGATGAAAATTTCTTTCCCTGGATTGATATTTGCGCAATACAAATCAATAAATATTAAATAAATATTTTAAATATTAAATTGACAGTAATGAAACATTACGCATGGTTTATAAAAAAAAAAAAAAATTTTTATGCTCTGATCAGATTTGGGGTACCTTGCGAGTTGATCAGTCTACTTCGTTCTTCTTAGATAACGCGGTAGGAAAGGTCAAAGCGACTGTGTTATCAAAAAAAAAATACTCAATGCAAAATCTGAGGAACTGAAATCACTACTAGGTTACTGCAATGAAAAGAAATATTGTAGAAACTATCTGGTCCACTGAAGAAATATCACCTCTCTTGATAATCTCCGCCCATTCAAGGATTTTTCGGTTATTTTTTTTTTACCCAGTAGTGCAGTACTAACCAGTTTTTCATGTTGCACCAGCCTCTAAAATCTCATGCGAATACTAATTTGAGTTCTTTAATTCAGCTCGGTAGAAATTGGGGGAGACGCTGATAATTTTGGCAGGAAAGGGATCACGATAAGTGAAGATCTGGGATCCCTAGTGCTGGGAAGAATTGATCAGGAATACATACGTGATCCGGACCTACGTGAAATATTGGCTAAAACGGATGTGGACAACGAAAAAACAGGTGTTTTCGAAGGCCAACAAATGAGCTTGATAATCTCAGTAATTTTCAGTGAGCGATTTGAAGTTAAAGGCAAGAGAAGGAACAAGGTATTTTATTGTCGGAAAACTATTTTATGGTAGTAAAGTAGTGATGAAATTAAAACGGTAACCTTTTTGCGCAGAAATCTCATTATCTTACGCAAAACATCAAGGACAAAGATAATTTCATAGGCTTTTGTCTTTTCTCTAATGAATAAATGAGGGATCTACAAAGGGTCAATAATGCGTAGGTGTTCATGTATTATTGCACAAGTCAGTGAGATAGCTGCGCACTGAAAAGCGGTTAATTTCATCACTACTATACCACTTTCAATCATATCTGATATTAAAGTGATGAATAAGGGAGAAGAGGAAAGGAGAGGATTTCTAAAAAAATAAAAGTGTATACACAAAACTACTTAGTGTTTAATTTCATTTTTACTTATAAATAAGCAATCTTGCACGTTCGTGAAGCTACAAGTTTCTTTTCTTGTGACGGGCTGTACTGTTGTAGATTGAGTATGGCAGAGTGTGAATTACAGTGGTCTCTTAATAAGAAATAAAAGGTTTAAGATCCGGAAAGATGCATTACTATAGACCCTTGCCTAGTCAAAGATGTTTTCAAAATTCAGCCAAAAAGTAATCCTCAGTTTACATTAATGCTACCATTCGGTGGACAAAGTACTACTCTATCTACCTATTTGAACATTGGTTTTGAAGATCGAAGGAGAGGCAGAAGTAAATCCCCCAGGGGTGAAAGAAACATGCAAGACGATTGAAATTCCTCCAAATATAGCAACGAGGCTGAACACTCGAGGACCAATCCTGTTCAAGTGCTGCCGCGTTGTGTATAACAAGGAAACAAATCGATTGGAACTCTCCGATGAAGAGGTTGTTGGAAAAGATTTTCTAAGATGTAAAGATGACGAGGAGGACGATGAGAACGATAACGGTAAGATCATATACATAAATATATATGTATAAATATATTATATATATATAGAAAGGGAGGGGATCGAGGGATGACGCAGTGGTGAGAGCACCCATCTCTCACCAATGTGACTCGAGTTTAAATCCCGGCATCGTAGCCATATGAGGTTCTCTCCTTTGCTCCGAGACGTTTTTCCTTGGTACATATACTCCGGCTTTCCCCTCTCTGGATCGAAAATCAACATTTCCAAAGTCCAATTGCACCAGGAATGTGGATGTGCTACCTGTAAATCGTTGTTTATTATTCATTTATTGATTTATTTTATAACAAAGTAGAAAATGGAAGTCATTACTCTGATTTGAGGTACGCAGTTGACCGCTGTTGTAGCTCGTCAGCCTAAGTATAACGTGTTTATCGACGTAATTTGATTGTATAATTGCACAAATAGATTGAATTTAATTATATAATATTTGCGAACAATTAGTTAGGTTAATCTATTAAGTGCTGGCTTATACCTCAAAATATAATTAGAAAACTATCTTTAGGTGCAGATTCTTAAACATATAAGAAAACATATGACATGGAAAGCATTTAAAACATTTTTGAGTTTGTAACGGGATAAAGCTTTAAATCACGACCTGAGGAATAATTCTGAAACATTTTCTTTATATTGTAGATGAATTTTGGGGAACAGTGCACATTGTTGCTAGAGTCCGAGGAATAATTCCGAAATATTTTGTTCTTATCATAGATGGGTTTGGGGCACAGTGTACATTGTAGCTAGAGTTGCCTCCTCTTTATTTTCTTTCCAAAAGGTTGGGAGATTTGTGTTTTGTTCAAGATACGGCGTAGCAATATAAATTTTTGACAGTTTTATTAAAATGATATCTTCTAAATTCATCCAACAGGTTTGTCTGAGAAAAATGAAACTGGAACAAACGGGGCTGCGCAGGACGAGCCTTTGAAGTCAAGTGACTGACTTTGCTATCATCTTGAATCAATTTTATGATCGTATCTCGAGTCTAACATGTATCTGTGAGGTGCGATCAGGATTTAAAATAGTACTGTAAACATAAAAATGAAATATGTTTTTTTTACTTTACTTTCCATCCCGGTCATAATTACTTGAAACTTTTAAGGAAACACATGAGAGAGGGTACACGTGTTGCTTCTACCTCCTTCCTCTAATAACACAGATTGAAAGATGGAGGGAGTGAGAAGGGGCGGGAGGGGGGGGGGTGGGTTTAGGGGGAGAGATCTGTAAGGTAGCCATCCAGCGATTATGATTATGACCGAGATTGTGTCTGCTGATGTTCAATTTGTAAGATATGACAATTGCAGATGTTTGTAAAACGTTTAAATCTCGTGAATGTCTCTCATGGCTGTTGCATACTTAAACTTTGGTGCCACTAGTTCTGAGAGATTCAAAGTTGCGTCAAACCATCACGATAATGAAAGATTTCTTATTTGCGTATGATAGAGTCGTTTAGATTTGTTGAGCGTGACTAAGTGTAGCATAGCCGTTGCTAGTGATTAAGAAATTTTCGTTATTGAACCACACTCATGGCTTGTCGATTCGTACTATTGTTTCCTCGGTGGTCCGCTGATCGTCATTATTGCGATGACTGGTCCTTTGCTTTCACTCATCTAGAATCACCTGATTAGAAGTCATGTGAATTAATGAGGATCGTAGAGCGCTTAATAGTGAACTTACTCAAGAGGACGGCGGAGTAAAGAAGACAGCAAACCGTGTGTGACAAGCGTCGAATGGTTTTGTTTCAAAACGCTCTTCGCCAAATTTCCCCGTTTTTTAAACAGATGTTTTGTCTGTGAACATCACGACGGGTGTTAGTAAAACGCGGGGTCGGGGTCGGAGCCACCCTAACTTTAACCCTCACCCTAAAACAGCATTATTTAAAAAAAGATAGATCCCGACCCCGACCCCGACCCGACCCCGAGTTTTTCTGACACCCGATTACGACAAAGACGTACGTTATAGCCCTGCCACGTTTGTCACGCCCGAAAGTTTTCCGTTCTCTTCCATTCTGCCATCCTGTTACGTAAGCTGGCTAATGCCCGGTGTTGGCAAGTAGGAACGGCGAGATCATAACGGTTTATGAATTATGTTTTGGTTTTTCTATTTCTTAAATTGTAACTGCAGAAATTGCAGAATTACAAAGTAAGTAGAATAGGTGCAGTATTAGTTTTTTCTAATCAGAACATCCAGCGTTAACTATAATATATTTGGAGATTAAAAGATATCATCGCCATTGACAGTGCCTCACGTGATTGTGGCACTGTCTTTTCATTGCGAAATATACTGTTAATCTTTTGTAAGCCCCTCTTGGGTACACCCATTCTGACCCTCTGAATTCTGACTGCACCCAGTAATAAAGACAATCACAGCCATTAATTTTGCCCCAATTAAGCGAATATTGGTTCCAGAATATGGAAAATTTTTCCCTGTGGAATCCTCAATCCTAGGCTTTTAAATCCGGAATACAACTCAAGGAACCCAGAATTCAAGTTCCAATGACAAGGACCGGAGATCCGTATCTAGCATCCAGAATCCACAGCTTGGGATTCCCTTACAACAAATAGGGGCGATCAATTGAAGCACATTAGAAGACACGTTCAGACCAAGTACTTTTACGCGGTGATAACTTTATTCCCTCTCACCAAAAAAATTATACCGTTTTTAGGAGTTTGATTGAGCATAAAGTCCCTCGCAATCAATTCTTTATTGAAAGGGAATCGTCGTTTCAAGGACAATGGCCGAGAAATAAAAAACCCAAAAAATCAGCCTGTAGGTACTGGTAAGCTGTAGCCTGTCATCAAGCAGGAATTTAGGTAGCGCGAGAAAACAGCCGACATTCACCGGCGCCACCACTGGTTTCCCCGCGAAATGATGACTGAGAAACGAGCACAGAAATTTCATAATGATGACGCATTATTATACACAGATCTTGGTAGTGCTTTTGATTAGTTGAAGCCAATTTCCCACGCAGCACGACGACCACGCGAGGGACCTAAAGCAAAATCTCGTCTGCGCATGCCCTCATTATAAATGCACCGCTAGAATTGAAAACTAAGGAAATTTCGTTTCTTTTGATGTATAATTTGCCTTTGTTGGAGAGGAGTTTGGCTCGATAAATAGAATTTTAAAGTAGCTACTTATAGTTTTTAGCCATTTTCGTGTGTCTGCTCGGCAAAATTAAAAATTACAGGTCCATAAATAAAAGTTTATTTTGTTTTTGCGTTGTGTTGTGGACACATATTTCAGTTTTAATTTAATTGAAAATGTCTATTTCTTCCATTTGTTTATTACTTGAAAAATCAATAGAGTCTGCGCATGCCCTCATTATAAATGCACCGCTAGAATTGAAAACTACGGAAATTTCGTTTGTTTTGATGTATAATTTGTTTTTGTTGGAGAGGAGTTTGGCTCGATAAATAGAATTTTAAAGTAGCTATTTATAGTTCTTAGCCATTTTCGTGTGTCTGCTCGGCAAAATTAAAAATTACAGGTCCATAAGTAAAAGTTTATTTTGCTTTTGCGTTGTGTTGTGGACACATATTTCAGTTTTAATTTATTAATTGAAAATGTCTATTTCTTCCATTTGTGTATTACTTGAAAAATCAATAGAGATTACCACATGTTACATTTAAAAATTCAAAGGAGCCTGAGGAACCCTTTTCTCTCCTTTTAAAACAAGTTTTGCTTATGATGTGAAGTATATATGAAATAATTCATTTTTGAACTGCGGTTGTAGATGAAAGTGAAGAATGATCATCGCAGTAAATTTTCCAATTTAAGCAGTTGGAAAGAAGAATCCTGAAAAAAATCAGGGCTTCAACGGGATTCGAACCCGTGACCTCTGCGTTACCGGTGCGTTGCTCTACCAACTGAGCTATGAAGCCACACATTGGGAGCGAGGTCAATTTATTAAGTTCATATCTCCCGTGAGGAGTGAAATGATGTGAGATATATATGAAATAATTCATTTTTGAATTGCGGTTGTAGATGAAAGTTCTTCTTTCCAATTGCTTAAATTAAATTGCTTTTCCCTCTCCCTAGTTCCCCGCTCGACCAAAGGCCTGTTGACAGGCTAACCTAGTGCCGTATGAATGTACACGAGAAAGTGGAAGGAACAATTCCTGAATGTTCGTAGGTACTGAGTTGTTTCTCAAGTCAGACATTAGGGCCATTTATACGTGGAAAAATAAGACGCGTCTTACATAAGACGCGTCTTAAATAAGACGCGAACTTTCCGTATAAACGGCACATTTCGTCTAAAATAAGACGCGGCTTAGCTAAGACGCGTCTTATTAGATAAGACATGCTCGTATAAATGGTACAGTTCGCGTCTTATTTAAGACGCGTCTTATTTTTCCTCGAATAAATGGCCCTAATGTTTCTGCTAGTAGCTGATAATAGAGAAAGTTGATTGGTAGTGTTTTTGTATTGATAAAGAGAGAAATGGGATAATCACGCGGTTTAGCAAAGTGAATAAAGCGAAGAGCGCGTTTCTGAAGGACTAGAAAATTTGTTTAGTTGTGATTTGCTTGCTTGACCCCATTCAACTATACCGTATCGAAGATAGAGTGTTATCATAGAGTGATAAATGGAAATAAGTATGCTAAAGGGAACAAAATGTCGCAATTTCGATAACAGCCCAACAGTTCTACTGATTTTTTAAAGAATTGTGTCAATGTGGTTATTTCAAGAAAGTATACCAGATTACCATACATGGAGCGAATCAGTGTCTAAACAATGCTTGATTCATATATAGCAAACTTTTTTTTTCCATTTCGTGTTTTCGTTTTTTGGGTGAGTTTCTGTTTAATATTTTGCGATATACGTCACTCAGGCCTGGTGGGTGATTCTGGTGGATTTGTTTGTGTTTCCTTTTGGGGATAGTGTATTTCTGTTTGGGATCTTTGTTTCTCAGTCCAGATTGACGTTTGGTTATCATTTTCCGTTTTGGCTATGTGTGTTTCTGTGCGGGGTTAGCGGGTTATGTTTTCGAGTCTTGTTTTTTGTTTTTGTTCCTTTCGGCCACTATATTTATGTACTATGAGGTAAACATGTCATTGAACTTTCGTAACACGACATGCTCAGCCAATCATATCGATACCTGAAAGCACACCCTCTCTGTATTTTTTTTCGTATTAGCTAAGAAACAATACCTATGAAATGCACTGTCCCTTTTGCCTGATGATTTGGTTAAATGTTCTTTTCACGGTTTTCTGATGCTTGAGTTTGTATGTGAACGAAACATAACCGATTCAGGTAGAAAATATTTAACTTAATTTCTCTAATTTACGTTTTTTTCTTTTTCTTTTTTGTGGCGGATAATAATGAAGAAATGAATATCTTGTTTTAAACTCTCATAAGATCCAGCCATGATCAAAGAAAGTGGTGATCAGCAGTGGTCACTGAGTGAGAAAGAAGTCATTAGATATGAATGTATTAAAGTTTTTAGTACACAAGAACCCTCAAGCATTTACTGCTTTAATATTCATCGTGTTTAAATAAAGGATATTGATTAATTAATTCATTCATTCAAGTCCTTAACACATGAAAATTGTGCGTTCTGGGAGAATCTTTGCTGACGTCTTTGTTTAAATTTTGTTGCCTTATCGTTAAAATTTTATAAAAAGGACTAAACAAGAATCACCTTTCAAAACTGAAATACAACTCAACACAAGCAACTGCCAATATTGAATGACAAGATTGAATAAATAATCTGTGCAATTTTTAGCTTTTTTCATGCAATACTTAAGGAAGTATCAGCCATCCGAGGTACGCAAAATTTCCGGGTGTAAAAGAATTTATTCGACCATCAGCCCATTTGTAAAATTTTGACTTTTTAACATCATATATCAGAAAAAGAAAAAAAAAAAAAGAACCGAAATTTTCGGAGAGAGTGTAATTCAGCTATTTTTTGTCACTAATAGTTTATGAAATGACACTTTTATAACTTTATTAAAAAACTAGAAGAGTGTGCATTTACGTCACCATCACACTCCAATAGTAGCATTGCGTTTGCGCACAGAGCAGGAAGCGTCGATACTCGATACTTAACGCCTATTGGAGAAAATTAGGCGAGGGAAAGATCAGATGAGGGACCCTGGGAACGAATTGAGGTAAATATTACTGAATTCAGAAACTGTTCATAATTTTGTTTCAAACAACTCGAAGGAGATTTCCTAAAGCATCAGGAATTAATCAATTTCTTCAGAAACAGAAATTTCTTCCGTAAGGTAAGATGACTAAAAACCGTGCTTGAAACATCCTTGCTAAGAGGGAGAGCGGAACGTTTTAGCGTACACCACCCAAAACGATCAAAAGCGATCACTAAAAAATCAATATTTTAGGGTTAAAGACTGATGTGAATGTCACAGCATCAAAAAAAAATTAAAGGCACTCACAGGCTTTAATGTGTAATAGAAAAATAGAAGACTTCACCTAGCTGAATGTGAGTTGGAACATTTTAGAAGACTTTTAATAGGAAAAGAAATACACAAACAACAACAAAATTAACAGACAGACAGATATCAGAACACTAACTCGAGCCAATAGCTTAGAGTATCTTATAAGCAAGGAAAATGGGGATAATTAGATTCAAAACTCTGAAAAAGCTCTTTCTTTAATGGCAGATGTGTAAATCATCTATGTAATTAAGCGATCAAATGGTTTGAACTCTAATTTATTTTATTTTGAGGTTACTCTCGTCACTCAGACCGTGTCGTTACGCGTATTTAAGGTTTCTAGATAGCAAGATTTTTCAGTGGTTTCCGTCTTAATATCTCTTAATCAGTGAATACTTTGTGTAACATCAAATTTATGTTGAAAACTGTGAGCATTAAGCACCGATAGGAACTGACTCTTTTGTAAATGTCGCACCAAAATTTTTAATGTCATTTCCTTAATATTAACGAAATATTGATCAGGACCACAGAACCTGAAAAATGTAACAGTAGATAGAAACATGGTTTTCAGCTTTGCTTTCACCTGATTGCCATATCTCTATTTTTAGAGGACTGAACACGCACAGACAAGCTTGAAGTATTATGGCGGTAAGTCAAATTCAGTAGGCTCTCTGGTCGTTGCATCCGTCGTATAGCCCACAAAACCATTTAATGGTGGACGAAGAAACACTTTATTTTTGGATGTGCAACCTCTAAATCATTATCTGTTTATTTTTTTATTTATCATTTCGTACCCCAATAATACTCGAGATTTGTCCGGGTTCAGTCTTCTAAAAATAAGATACAGGGGCACCCAACGAGAACATAGTTCAAAACCACTTAAACATAGCATTGTTAAACGTATTTTGGTATTTAAACGGTGGATATAGGCATATTTTTATCCCCTAAAAATTTTTCATCTGTTCGGATTTCCTAGCTGAAAGTCTAGTGATTAAATTATAGGGATCAAAACTTACCTTTTCGAAAATTTCAGCCAGAAAAAAGGCTCCCGAAAATTCTAGGTGACCTTTTTAGGGTAAAAATCCGTCAAAAATAGACAATTATACCATTTTTTAGATGTTCGAAAATCCTAGGAGAAGCAGGCAAGCAAGAAATTTTACAACAAATGTTCCGAAAGTCTGAAGATATGCCAAGGAAATGAAAACTGAACTGAAAACTACACGTTTCTAACCACTTTTAGGTTTTTTTAGAGTAACNAAGGCTCCCGAAAATTCTAGGTGACCTTTTTAGGGTAAAAATCCGTCAAAAATAGACAATTATACCATTTTTTAGATGTTCGAAAATCCTAGGAGAAGCAGGCAAGCAAGAAATTTTACAACAAATGTTCCGAAAGTCTGAAGATATGCCAAGGAAATGAAAACTGAACTGAAAACTACACGTTTCTAACCACTTTTAGGTTTTTTTAGAGTAACTGCACTAAAATGTGAGTATGGAATCCACAAAGACTTAGAAACGTTCGGCTGCGAAATATTTTTCAAAGAATGAATTTGTTAGTAAGAGGATTTTGACAGACACCATCCAATAATCGTACTCACGTACTAGAGGAAAGTAAACAGCGTCATATATATTATGATTTAACCGCGAACCCTTTGAGACCAATCACACTTAATGAAGCATAACACCGTTCCGGAAAATGATCCCTTTATAAAGCAAAGTGAAAGAGAGGTACCCACAGGCATGTAACATAAAATGAAATACAGTGCAAACCATTTGATCGCTTTCGTAAGCTATGTTTACATATTTCTTAAAATGCAGCTCTTCATTGGTTTCTTGAATTCCACATCCTGGAATCCGGATTCCAGGTATTAGATTTTGGATTCCAATCGTTAGTAGATTCTGGATTCTTTGAAATGTATTCCAGATTCCAAAGCCTAGGCTTTCGGATTCCACATGCAAAATTTCCCAGATTCCGAATAATACAAACAAAATTTTGCAGTTTCCGGAATCCGGATTGATTCCCTTACAGCAAAATAGCCGAATAACTTGCTAAAACGGAAGGATTAAAGGGAAAAAAAATCATAATATAGCTCAATGGATTTAAAGACCTTTCGGTTCATGATCATATTCTGAATCTCTGTCAAGAAACAGGCAAATGCTTTGAAATTTTAACGTTCTTCGAGGGTTAAGGGAATTAATCTGAAAGGATTTTAAGAACTTTGGGATATTTGGAACTAATAATAAGAAAAGTTTTTAATTCGGCTTTCATATGATATGAAAATTATACAGATCTCGGAGAGCCTTATCCACCGAGGCCGAATTCAGTCAGTTAGCTTTGCACAAAGAGCAGGAAATTTAAAACATCAATACTTTACATTTAACTGTTAATGGACGACAATGTGGGACGGAGAGACGAGAAATCTCAATCTTGCACCCAGATCTCATTCAGTCTTACACTGAAAAGTGAGATCTCCCTTTCATTGACCCTGAGAGATCTGGGTACGACATAAGAGAAACGCTGGGAACGAGTTTGAATGCAGTTCAGTATGATTTTTATCAGGTAATTCCAAGGAAACGTACCCAAGCTTCGTGGAGAGATCAGACTCTTCATAAACAGTTGTTTCTCCTATCAGGTACGTGTAAATTGGTTTAAAAACGTGTTTGATACACATTTGCTTTTCGAGTGCCATCAAAAAACCAGGGCGTACCAACACGATCAAAATATATCGCCGAAAATCAATATTTTGAGGGCCAAAGACTCATGTTGTCGCTTTGCCGGCATAAATAAAAGCACTCAATGGGTTTTCAATGATACAGAAATAGAGAATACTTCATCAAGAGGAAAGTGCCCTAAAAAAGGATTTGGGCACGACTGGTTGTGTGTCAAAAATCGAACGAGTGAGATTCCTGATACAGAAAAAAATGTAATAAAGCCATTCAGAATATGAACAGCTGTATTTTGAGAAATATGTAGACATATACCGTAAAATTCCGAAATAAGCCCCGGAGCTTATATTTTTCAAAGGCCCTTTTTGAGGGGCTTATTTTTGAAGGGGCTTATATTCGGAGGGGCTTATCTACGGAAGGACATTTGCGTTTCAAAATCGATTGGGCTAGCCTTATATTTGGAAGGAAATTTACTGTTTTTGCTTTGTTTTGCTTTGTATTTGAGGGCAACTTCAAAGTACAAGCCCCCGGGGGGGCTTATATTCGGAGGGGCGATTTAACAGAGGGTTTTTTGCGTTACGAGTTTGGGGGGCTTATATTTGGAGGGGCTTATACATGGAGGGGCTTATTTTCGGAATTTTACGGTATATCTATTTCAGTTTATGTTACATGCCTGTAGGTAACTCTCTTTCACTTTGCTTTATAAAGAGATCATTTTCTGGAACGGTGTCATGCTGCATCAAGTGCGATTGGTCTCAGAGGGTTCGCGGTTAAATCAAAATATAAATGACGCTAGCCTGCGAAAACAACCGTTTCTCCTCGCTCTTCGCCGCTGGGGACGTTTCGCGAGGAGGAACGTCTGCGACTCAGTGACAGAAATTCCATACTGATGACGCAAATCAATGTTTACATAATGAATCCGGTAGTCATGGGGTTCCAAATATAAATTTGTCCAATTTTGCGTGTCTTCTGGTTGATTTTAGTGAAGTGTTGTGTTCATCTGCCAACGAGCTCCAGCAAAACTCAAACGCTTCTTCTAGAGAAGACTATATTCCAGAAATATTGACTGTTTTGTTAGAGATTCTTCGCGTTTACATTTGACCTTTGTGGCCTTTTGTCTATTGTCTGTCATTCGTAAACAATAGCTAAAACAATGTAACTACTCCGTCAACCAATCAGCGCTTCTGACCGGATTCCGGACAGATTTTACGTCATCAGTATGGAATTTCTGTCGCTGAGTCGCAGACGTTCCTCCTCGCGAAACGTCCCCGGCGGCGAAGAGCGAAGAGAAACGGATGTTTTCGCAGGCTAAAATGACGCCGTACGCTTTTTAGTTTCCTGTAGTACGTGAGTACAATTTAGCGTTGGTGTCTGTCAAAATCCTCTTACTACGGAATTCATTTTGGGAAAATATTTCGCAGCCGAACGGTTCTAAGTCCTTTGTAGATTCTATAGTCACATCTTAATCCAGTTGCTCCAAACAAACCTAAAAGTGGTTAGAAACATGTGGTTTTCAGTTCTGTTTTCATTCCCTTGCCATATCTTATTTTTAGAAGACTGAAACCGGACAAGCCTCGAGTATTATGGCGGTAGGTGGAATATAAACTATTATTATATACATACGGAGAAATACTCACCAAAAACCTATGTCGTAAATTTTCGTACGCAAATTAGTTCTAGCCAATCAGAGGAGCGAACGATGGTTTTCACACGTGAAAAAAAATGATACGTCCAATCAGAATCGCGAACGATGTTTTTTCACGTGTGAGAAAAATGATACGTCCAATCAGAAGCCACAGAGGTGTGTGAGTTTCGCGCGAAAATTCCCGCCTTTTATTGCAGCTTGCAGCGCCGCTTCGCACACATTCAACGAGAAAAGTTTTACTCAAAGAGTTTTTCTTGCTAAAAAAGTGAAAAACATTTCGGAAATGGAGTGGAATAGTTTCTTTTGTTTCACTGTCGATAAAGAAAACCGTAGAGAGCCGGCGAAACAACAGCGGAGAGGGAAAAACAGAACGAGACGTATCCTTTTGTTGTGCTTTTTGTCGGAGCTACTTTGCCTTTCATTTAAGCTTAAGCTTATATTGAAACCGGCCATTTTACGTAAATTCACTCATTTTCAATTGTGCATTGAGAACAAACAGTTAAGATTACTTATAGTTCTTGGATTACCTCATATCCTTACCGTCATTTATGCTTTTAACAAACGTTTTTACTAAAAAAGCTGATACTTCGTTTTCGTTGTCATTTTGCGTTAAGTGTGTAGCGGCAACTTTTAGCATTTTTGAACGATTTAAAATAAAAAGGCCGCCAAAATGATGAATGTGTCAGTATCTATATAATAAACACAATACCACATGGAAAGTGCTTTGTACGGTATTTACGCATTCGTTGCTTTTGTATCAAAAATCTTACTCGTTGCGCGCTCACTTGTTCGATTTCTGATAGGTCAACAACTCGTGCGTAAATACCGTACGCCAGCACTTTCCATGAAGTATTCTCTATTTCTCTAAGCCTTGCATCCCTGAGTCTATTAAAACGATTAATTTGTTTGCACAAAAGTTTGAACTTTTTCATCTGATTTCCAAACACTCATTAAACATTAATTTTCTTTGTATTTCCTTTAAGAATTATCAATGAATTTGAGAAAGATATTTATCTAACTCCTCCTTCATTTCAGTTTTTATTATGCAGGACCAAATATCATTTTTTCTTTATTTTTGTACATTTGAGTTGGTTGAATACTTGCTACGAGGATTCTCTAAGGAAAATTTTGGTGATCGAGATGGAAACTATTTTCCTATTGTCCATGGCCATACCCAAGATGTAAAGTTGTTTTGGGTTAGCACAAAAAACGTATTTTACGGCGCATTTTGACGTTGTCTTGTAGGGAGTTTAAGCAAAGACAACAGCGACGGCAACGAGTACAGCAACACATCAATAGGTTTAGATTAGCAAAACAATAACTTTTCACGTGCATCACACTTTTTTGTACATTTCCTAGCCGTCGTTGCACGACTACAACGTGAAAGTGCCTGATTTCACGTTTTGTCCAGGACGGAAACACAAGACAACTCTCCTTTTCTTTTCCTCAGAACTTTGATACAGTCCTTTAGAATTCAATTTAAAAAAATTTGCAAACCTTTGGAGAATTAAACGAGATGGAATAAGCGCGATAAAGTTTCAAGCAGCGCGAATTCACTTTTTAAGTGACGTTTTTGTAGTCGTCGCCGTCGTTGTTGCTTAAGCTCCCTAAATTCCTCTCAGCCATGCATATAGCGATAAAAGATAGTTGGTTGATTAATAAAATCAAGAAGTTGGCTAGCACATTAATAAAACTTAACAATAGCAGTGAACCATGATGACGCCAATTATCGTTTAAAAAGGAACTGGATCCGACATCTTGGAACCGTCATGTTGAATTAATTAAATGTATTCCATTTTACTCAAAATACGTATATTTAAATCAAGGTAATCATGATAGATCGTGTATAAAAGGATGCTTACAAGGAAGCATAAAAAAAATTCAAGTTTTGAAATTCCAAGAAAATCGAACACTGATGAAAAATGAACCAAGCATCTGCCATTTAGTTATGTTACAATCATGTTTTTTTCTCTCAAATTAGTCATTAAAATTCCTGGATTACATCAACAGTTGTGTCAAATTTGACAGGATAATGCTAAATAAAGTGTAATATAATACTTCAAAAAGTAAAAATTGAAATAAAACTTTTATAAAATAGCAGATTTTGAAAAACAAAACTTGGTTGCCATGGAAACGTTAAAATTGACGTGCACGTCACGACGACTTTGAAATGTTCCCAGACAGGTTTTAGGAAAAGTCGCTAAACTTGCTTGGTCATAGCTTGAACGTCCGCGTGGCCATGCGATTTCCCGCCAAATAACCTCAAGTTGCTTGTGTTAATTGAGTTATTTTACATTGTTATGCTGGCGGTGCTGACGGACGGTCGGACGGACGTATTGTCACGTGATTTCCAAAATTTCTCGGATGGATGGATTACCAAATTTTCTTAGGTATGAGCTCCGCTAAGATCACCCCATAGTTAACTTGTCGGCTTTTAAGTAATTTGGTGCGGTTACAGTTATCATATCTCATTGAGGCAAATGCACTGAAACACACACAACGCACATGCGTTGTAGATAAAATCTGTTCTCAGGTTAAGCCAGAATTCCCTCGGGTGTCTGTAAAACCCAGAACAGGTCCGGAACACCCTCAGAACACCCTGCAATAGCCCGGAACAGCCCCCTGAAAGAAAAAAAATGATCGCACTGTCGACCTCATGTTTGTTAGTCAGATGACTATTTCGAGTTACCGACGGAAAAGAAGGACTCTTTACCTTTTCTTTGAAGGGTGAAGAAGAAACTCAAACCTCTGCATCAATTGCGGTCGGCTGCGTCTTGACGTAATATATCAAGCATGGGATGTAGTGTTTCATCACCAGATGATACACTGAAAAAAGAGTTGAAAATACAACGCGCATTTCGAGGTGTTTTATCTGGTGATGAAACACTGTGTCGAATGCTTGATATTACTTCCCAAACAAAATGATTTTAAAGGGAGAAATTAAGGATGCAAAACTGAGCAGTTTTTCATCTGATTTCCAAACACTCATTAAACATTAATTTTCTTTGCATTTCCTTTATGAATTATTAATGAATTTGAGAAAGATATTTATCTAACTCTTTCATTTCAGTTTTTATCTTACAGGGCAAGGTATCATTTTAATTTTTTCTTTTTTTAAATATTTAAGTTGGTTGACGACTTGCTACGAGGATTCTCTAAGGAAAATTTTGGTGATCGATATGGAAACTATTTTCCTGTTGTCCATGGACGTACCCAAGATGTAAAGTTGTTTACCCTGATGATAAGGCAACCTCGGTCCTTCCTGGCACGCCCATTTAAGCACCATAAGTACACAATTCTTGCAGGAATGGAAAAGTATGTAGTTGAGAACGGGAATGAAGAATTTGAAGACTTGAAGAACAAATTTGTTAAGATAGAAGATCCTGGAATAACACTAGATGAGGAGGATGGTACAGGAGCTGCAAGGTAAATTACATCACTGTTACATTACGCTAAAGAATTTGTATAGGTAATAGCATGATTTGTAGTAATATTTGGCCTAAATACCACGAGTGATATTTCAAAATTGTTATGCGTGAAATTTGAGACAATTTTGAAATATCCCGAGTGGTATTTACCCACAAAAAGTTTTGTAAGGGCCTGTTTACATGGAGGTGGGGGACCTCAGGTAGGTGAGGTAACCTGCTTAGGTGTGGTAACCCGCGTGTCCATATAATCTCTCATTTTAATTTGGTCACGCGTTCACATGATAGGTGGGGTGACCCGCCATTTGTTACCTCACCTACCTGGGCCCCACCTCCATGTAAACAGGCCCTTATTTTCACATGTAGGTATTTCGAATTAAGCTGAAATACCACTGCTCTAAGCCAATCAAATTACAGAAATTTCTGATGTAGTATGAATAAAAGTAATAGCACGATTTTCCAGTTACAGTTTTATATCAATCATTCATCACAAGAAATATAAACGGGACAGAGAGGGAATCTAGGGGCGTTGGTCAGGTTATGTGAATTTCACTCAAGTTATTTCTAGGCGTTGTAGTTAAACGGAAGTGTAATTCCTGAGACGTCCACACATTTTAATCGATGGCTTGAAACGTCCTTCAGTGCCCCCCCAAAAAACAATACCTAATATTTTAATGGCGACTTTGAATTCTCTCTTGATAACACTGAATAAACGTTTGAGGTTGTCGCCAGTAAACCAACTTTCGATTAGTTTGGTCTCAAAATATTTCTTTGTGTGAAATTTACAAATCCTAGGGGCTACACTGGGCCTTTTTCCCTGTCTGTCCCATTATTGTTTTTGCTGTCTTTTTTATAACGATTTTCTATCAGGACAACGCCCTCAATACCTTTCAAAATGTCAAACATGGCAGTGAAAAAAGCAATGGAACACAGGAGACGATTTCTCAAAATCTACTCATTAAAATTTTGTGACATTTGGCAGAAATTTTACTTTTATCGTATTTTAAATAATGAGAACTTTAAAATGGAAGTTGAACAGACGAATTTTGTGACACATTTAGTAATTACAGTACAATTATATTAGTGATTATGTAAAAACCCGTCTGTTAAAATTTGGTCAAATAAATTTCAAATGGTAATGATTAATTGTAGTAAGCTGTGTGCAAGTTTATAGGTAAATCTAATGCGCGAATTTTACGTAGTGACATGAACACAACATATATCATGTTAATTTTTAAAAAATAAACTTGGGTCTGAGATCATTTCAAAACTAGTAACTTAACAGCGGATAACTTCAAAAAAGCACTCGACCTCGATGGGTTGACACCTGAACCCACAATACGGTCAGGTGATACGGATCAGCGGATACCTTGTTTTGACAGCTGTCAATTGATCCATGGACATTATCCATGATTGATCACAGCATTGATGTGCTATCAGTTTTCTCCTGGGTTCCCAAAGTAGTTAGAAATTGTGAAGTAAACATTGGTTTTCCTGTGTTGCGGACAGACGGACGCCGGTCGGACGGTCGGTGTACGGTCACGTGATTACCCAATTTTCTGGGATGGGTAGATTTACATAGCTATGGGGCTACGCCCACGCGCGCGCTCGGTGAGATCTAAAAACAACGTAACTGCACTAATTACTACGGCTAGTAGATTTGGGAAGGTTTATTTTTATTATTCATTGCTATTTTTTACTTTAAATGATGCTTAATTCTTTATAATTATCATAAGAAAGAGTTACCTCCATGTAAACGTTTCAAAAAATTCCCTGTACTTAGGCAGTTTCAGAATTGGCGTCTAAATGTGATCACTTTGTGTTTCGTATTCAGAACGGTAGAAATGGAAACCAACGCTGCTGATTGCGTCAATGCAGGGATTAGAATGAAAAAAGATCTGGGATTCTTACACCTAGGGAAAATTGATCAGGAGTACATACAGGACCCGGACTTACGTGAAATATTGGAAAAAACACTCCTGGATAGTAATAAAACAGGAGTGTTTGAAGACCAACAACTGCGTTTGATAACCTCAGTAATTTACAGCCAATGCTTTACAGTTAAAGGCAATAGAAAGAAAGAGGTATTTTAATTTCTGATAACTACCTAACAGTATATAGTCGTTGGTCCAGCCGGTTTTACTTTGTGATGTAATTTTCGGGAAGAAAATAAGGTTACAATACAAACGAAACTTTCCCAGTGTTCATTGATCTGTGTACCTTGTTAAGC